CGCCGGGCGTCCAGGGCGGGGAGGTGGCTAGGCTCTCCCGGCGTTCCTGGGGAGAGAGCAGAGGGCGGGGCAGGCGTTAGTGCTGGGGCCCTCCAGAGCGGGGGCTCTAGAGGGTCCGAGTGGGTTCGGCCTTCGCACAGCGGGGTTAGCCGGGGACCAAGGTAGGGGGAACTTGCAGTGTCCTGCTTTCAAGCCTGGGGCTTTCACAAGCCCGTGCTGACTGCCCCTGCGCAGTAACAGGGAGCAGATGACGGGGTTGTAGAACGATCACTCCAGGGACCAACCCCGGGATGCACTGAGTAAACCTGAGCAAGTTGCTCCTGCAACGGAAGCAACTCATTTTCCTCCAGGGTTAAATGGGGTGTGGCATCAGCATGGGCTACTTACTGGGTGCTTGTGAGGATTCAGGGAAGTAACTCATGTAAAAGGGCATTACACGGAGTAGATGTCTTGGAAGCGAGTAAGTGTTCAAATGATTACTTACCTCAAAAACATGCTGAAAGAATAGACATGAAACTAACCAAAGTGGCTACCTGTTAAGAAAATGGGGTGAACCTGGACAGGATCCACAGCCTGGGGTCAGAATCAGGTTTTTAATGTACTACTTTTATATGTTCTTTGAACCACCTGCATGTATTCTCTATTCAAAAATGTAAAGCTAAAAAATACTGAAGATCAGACCCTTCATCCCTGGCCTCTGGCTAATGTGACCATGATCACTCCTAATTTTCCCTTGGACACTGGCAGATGGAAACGTAAGGGGGAACTGTTCTTCCTCCCTAGGCCAGCACATTCCCTCACAGACTTCTTGCCTTCCATAGGGTGGAGAATGTGGTCTCAGTGAAGCCAGGTTAGTGAAATTTTTGAAGTTATAAAGCAGCACACCTCTGCTAACACCACCATAGCTGCCTCCTACCTATTAGGGACTTGCCAGTTTGCAAGGTTCAGACTCATCCTTTCTCTCTCAATAGAGCCTCATAGTCAACTGATGAGCAGCTGACATTATCACCGTTTTTTACTAGATGATGGAAATGCAGTTCATAGGTATAAATAACTATTCAGTGTTCGGCCCCATTAGGAAGTGTGTGTGTGTGTGTGTGAGAGAGAGAGAGAGAGAAAGAGAAAGAGTTTGAGAGAGGAGACTACTGCTTACTGGCTACACCATACCTAACTCGACTGGCTGGGAAGTGCAGGGCTTGGGGACCCATATCCAGTGCAGATATGCTAAATCATCCAAGTGTCCATGCAGTCAGATTTCCAGCATTCACCCCAGTCAGCCTCCAATTCAATCCAGATTCACAGTAGCCATCCCTCAGAATCCAGAGCTAGCCGGCCCATTCAGTGTCTCCTTCCCAAGCAAGATGTAGACCCACCCACAGACCCATTCTCTCATCCAATCAGAAATCAACCACAGCAAAGCCAGGCGACCTCTATCTAATCAGAATCTAAATATCCTGATTAAAAGGAAGCAAGAGCCATAAAGTATATGTCTACTAGGTGAATCCATACTCTGAAGTGGAATCTTTCAACCTAAAGAGGAATGCTGTATAGCAATGTGAACAGGAGATTCTCCATGGGATGACAATACTGGCCTGACCCCTAGAGACATCCCAGGACATGCAAGACCCCAGTTGTTATGTAGGAGAGTTAAAACTCAGTGTGAAAGTCACTGTTTTACTCCTAGGGTTGACTTGTGTATACGTGAGCACCAGACCTTGGGATCTGCTGACATCCCTGGGGGCTCTGGGTGCAGGCATGTGGCCAGGAGGCTGACCCAATCCTGCACAAGCATAGAGGCCAAGGAACCAGGGCTCCTCAGCCTAAAGAGAATGCTGGGAGGGGAGCCTCCCGGAGCTGTGTGAAAGGTCTCTAACGGGTGGTCTCCACCCTCAGTAGCCACAAAGAGAGACTAGAGTGAGCAAGTGGAAAGGGTACAGTTTCCTTCTCAAGTCTGCGTTGAAAGCTGGGAGCAGTGGTAAACAGCGCCTTACTGCTTGGAGGTGGGCTAGGGCCTGAGCTCATCAGACTACCAGGTCTGTATCCCAACTCCGTGTGCAGGGAAGAGGTGGGATACAAGACACAGAAAGACTGTGGGAATTGGAGCTGTTCACTTTCTGACAAAGGTCTTGATAACCAGAACCCTTTGGGAGTGCACATGGGTGAGAATTCAGAAAGCAGCCCCCACTTCACCCAGGACCATCACCAGTGCCAGGCCTTGAGTAGGGTAAAGGTGTGAGCAGCGCAGGGTCAGAAAGGAACTAGCAGGCCAAGCAACTCCTAGTTAAGGAGCCGAGTTTCCTCAGAAAGGGAAACTGAGGTCTAGAAGTAAGAGAGGGGTTGTCTAGATTCACGCAAGGATTCGGGTGCAGATCTGGGTGTAGAACCCAACTCCTGACAATGAGTGGCAGTCTGTTCCATCCCCTGGGGCAGAAACCAATTGCTTTTGGGAGCCAGACAAGGAACATGACGAATAGGATGAATGTGATATAGCCAGATTTAGATAGCACAGAGAGGGGAAGGAACCAGACTGTATATGCTTGGACTCAAGGCATTTAAAAGTCCATTAAAAAAAAAACAAAAAACAGGGCTCTCCCTGGTGGCGTAGCAGGTTGAAGCACCACACTGGGGAGCAAAGGTCACATCAGCATGAGTTCGATCCCTGCCCCGGAGCTGACCCACATGGTGCAGCAGACCTCTCCTGACCCGCCCGCTGCTCCCCTCAGCAGTGCACTTCGTCAGTTGGCCTGTTCTGCTCGCCATTTTGTGGTGAATCCTCTCATCCCCTGCCCACTGCACCTCTGGCCTGTACCCCTGTTCTGTATGCATAAATAAATAAATAATCAATCTTTAAAACAAACCACCAACCCTGGGCCATAAAGGGCTGTGGGTTTTCTCTGTGTTCTACAGTCTTTTTGGCCAAACTACAAAGTCAGAAGCCATGAGTTCCAAGGACTGATTCCCTAAGTGCTGACCTGGGCAGAGTCACAGCCCCCACCTCCCAGCCAGCCGTCCTGGCACCACCAGACCCACCGCAGGCTGATGACTCGCCTTCACACAGCCACCTGCAGTCCCAGATCCGAGAGGGAGAAGGGGCCCCATCAGTATCCAGACCACCAGCCAGCGAGCGCGGAAGAAAGAAGCAAGACAGATTTGAGGCAGAGTGTATTGAGGACAGGAGAGAAAACAAAGTCAGGGAAGCCTTCTGCCAGCTTGGCCGGGGAGCTGCAGGATGGAGGTGGGCTTTTCCTTGGCTGGCCCTGGAGGAACTTGGCAACCCAGGGTTCAGGACAGGGACCCCACTCGTGCTGGGAGGGGCTGGCATGGAGGAACTGAGCTCACTCACAACTCCCCCACGCACGCCCCCGAGTTCTGGGCAGAATGAGCTCACTGGGAAGGCACCCCTGTTCCCATGGAGACGCGCCCAGAGCTCACGAAAACTGCAGGCTCAGCCCAGCATGGGGACCGCCTCCACCACCCCTTGCCCCACTAGGGAGCCCAGAAATAGGCCTGGGAAAGAGGAAGTGGGTGGTGCTCAGCCCCCCCACCTTGGGAAGCTTCCATCTGAATCCTGCCTCAAGAGTCTGTAATTCTCACACCCCAACCCCCACAAAACCTGGTTTGGGGGTGGGGGGCTGTATCACATCAAAGGTGTCAGAGGTGGTAAAGATCTCAGACAAGCTGATTCAACACCCTCACTGTAGAAATGGAGCAACTGAGTCCCAAAGATACACATAGGGACTGTTAGCATCCAGATCTCCTTAGTCCAGTCTTCTCCTCAGCACCTGAAGAACTCCTTCATCCCTTCCCACAGAGCTGCTGAGCTCCTGCCCTGGACCTCACCTGTTCCCACTGTCTGCAGACAACCCTGCGTGGAGCCCCTCCAGCCTAGGCTTTCTGTTTCTCGGCCTCCTGCCACAGCCCATCCCAGCCACACCCTCCCAGGAATAAACAAGCCCTAAGACATCTAATCTCCAGCTCTCCTAGGGCAACAGCCCATTTCCTTTCCTGTCTTACCAGGGTTTATCACTTACAAGGCCTTTCTCCCGAAGCACCAGCCTGTCTTCCCACTCCTCACACACTGTTAGGGCCTGGAAGGGCCCTCACTGTATACATGAAAAAACTGAGCTCCAGGAAGGGAAGGGGACTTGGCCAAGGCCACAAAGCAAATGGGAGGTTGAGACAGGACCAGACCCTTCCTCGTGCTCCTCTCTCCCTGTGGCCCTTTCCACTGTGCAGAGAAGCTGCACTTAGTCCAGCAGATCTTGGGTCAAGCTGCAGCCAACACAGGCAGCAATATACTGCTGGGAGCCCCTAACGAGCCGCACCCTCACGCTTGCACACCCTCCTCCAGTGATGGCCTCTCGGAGGTCCCCTGGGCCCTCCCACACTCCGGAACCACGAGGGCCAGCCAGGTGGAGTCAGGGTGGAGTCTAGGGAGCTTTAGCTGTCCCTAGAGTGGAGCCAGATGTTTACAGAGGGCACTGAGGCAGCGGAGCAGAAGGGGCAGAAAGAAAAGCGTCGGACAGCAGTAACGGGCTGAGTCCTCATCCAGCAGAAGAACACAGGGGAGGAGAAAACGTGGAGGCCGAGGCAAAGTTCTCTGAAGCAGCCGAGAGGAATATCCACAGGCAGAGGCGGAAGAGACAGACCCATGGTGGTGAGAATCCAACGACAGGCAGAAAGATGCCAGGAGCAGGACCACGATGAGGAGGCTGCCCTGGAGCAGCTGAGAGGCAGACCCCTTCCTTGGCTGGCTGGGTCACAGGTTCTGGCGGGCTCTGTGGGCTCTAGAAACTGGTCAGATCCCCTTTTGGCCACTCCCCAGCAAGATGCTGGCATCCCCACAGCTCACAAAGGCCAGAGGGAGTCACTCAGCCCCACTTGGGCCTGCCAAGGATGTTCTCTCCCATGATGCCCCTCCCCACCTGGCCTAAGACTTCAGATCCCAAATACGGAGCTCAGTTCGCAGTTGGGAAGGGGCAGCTACAGCTCAGAGAGGGGAGGTGACTGGCCCCATGTCACAAAGCTAGCTAGTGTCCCCTCAGATCTGAAGTTCTGAGTCCCCCTTCTCCTGCCTCTCAGCCCTGTGCCACTTTCTGCCACATCTGCTCTACATCCAGGCCCGGAGGGGGGCACTGACGGGCAGTGGGGTCTCTATGGGGTGCGTTACTTGAAGCAGAAGGAAGGCTTCCACACCTGAGCCTCGATCCCTGCATTCCGAGTGGAGAAGGAAGGCCTGGGGGCCTGCTTGGCTCGGGGAGACCACGCCCTGGAGGGAGACACTGGGGAGATATCACTGCTGTAGGTGGGGCTCACGGTGGCTGGCTGCAGGCCGTCCTGGCTGGGCAGCGAGTAGAGGCTGGGCGAGGAGCGGGAGGGCCGAGGCAGGGCTGGAGACGGAGGAAGCGCTGCCTTGGGCAGGCTGGGCGCCAGGTCCAGGGAGCTCGGCTTGGATGGGGAGGCGGCTCTGGACAAGGCCGCTCTTGGGGAGGCCTTGGCAGGCTCCTTGAGGGGAGACAGGACAAAGAGCGAGGACCGCAGCTGGTAGGGTGGCTGCTTGGTGGGCTCTGGACGCAGGACCCCATTCTCAGGCAGGTAGCCGTGGTAGAGGGAGGCAGGCGGAGTCCGAGCTGGACTTAGGGATGCCACTCGGAAGCCGCCCTGGGCACTGGTAGAGTATTTCCAGGATGAAGGCAAGGACATAGTGGGTGAAGGGCAGCGGGCCAGTTCGGTGTGACCAGAAGACTCAATGACATACTTCTCCATGCGGGATTGGCGGCGGGCATAGAGCTCAGCCCCCTTCCCGGAGGCCTCAGAGAGGTTCTGGTTGGGTTTGGGCTTCGGCTTGGCCTGGATGCGTGGTGACTTGAGGCATGAGGCCCACTCCGGCACAGCCTCCTCGGCCGCTGCAGGGCTGGCCCTGTCCCTCGGCGCAGGCTCCTGCTGGAAGTTCGAGGCCTCGGCCCCCAGCGCAAAGGGCTCTTCCTCCCCGGCTGCCTCCCCCTGGTCCCTCTGTCTCCGCTTCTCATCGGCTGTCTGCACCAGATCCAGCAGGTCTGGATTCGGGGTCACCTTGGGTTTCTCCACAAAGGTGAACATTGACTTGCGGCTGCCCCTGCGGGCCATCGACTCCTCCAAGATGCCCGTCTTGCTGGTGGGCACTGCCTGGCCTTTCAGATGAGAATGCTTGGGGTCAGAGCTGGGGTACAGAGCAGAATAAGAGGGGGGAGACCTAACTCGGGAAGCTGGGGGGGCTGTGGACAAGGTCTCAGCATAGGTGGGGGGCGGGGTGAAGTTCCCCAAGGGGCGTCTCTCCAAGGCAGGGCTTCGCTGAGCCACTGGCCTCCTTTCCACCATGGGGCTGTGGGATGACATGACGTGTCTCTGTGGCCGAGGGCTCCTATCTGGCACAGTGGAGGGATGGGGGGCTGGGGCTACCACATGTTTTCTCTCTACCATGGGGCTCCGCTCCATCTGGCTGGGGGCCCCCGGTGCTTGCACGCCAAAGGGGCGGGCTGTCCTGTTGACCACTGATTGGGGCTTGGCCAGAGTGAGGTGGACCTCACTGTACAGCCTGGTGGGTGTGGTGGCAGCTGTCCGCCCAGATGTCTCTTGTTCTGCAGACACCACTGGGGCGTTGGGCTGCACATCGATAAGCAGGGAACTGGTCATGTAATCTGGAACTGGGGTCCCGAAGCTGGAGATGGGAGTGGCTTCTTTGGCGAAGGTGCTGGTGGCACTAAGCGGTGTGGAGACCTTATCCACAAGGAGTGTGCTTGATCTCACCTCTGCACCCAGCTCCTGGGGCTGCCCGCTAGCACATAGGGTGCTGGACTTGGAGTCTGGAATCATGCCATTTGGAGGGAGTTGTGCCCCTGCAGAATTCTGTGGGGTACTGGAAAGCGGGGTGACAGTCACTGGTGGGTTCTGGTTGACATCAGTGGCTGGCAGGCCATGGCTGCTGTTAGAAGCCAGTGTGATGACTGTGTCATGGTGTGAGGAAAGGTTCTGGTTGACATCTGCAACCGGGCTGGGGACCTCAGCCTCAGGTGGGGTTGCTGGGGCCTGTTGGGGCTCCCGGTTCTGGGACAGGTGGAGCCCATTGGCCGTCAGCAGGGCCGCATTCTCCTTTAAGTAAACCACCAGTGGCACCTCTTCTTCCTCACTGGCTACCTTCTCCAGGTGCCGCAGCAAGCTGGCCTCCTCTGAACACCCCTCCATGCTGGAGTCAAGGACCTGTATGTCAGGGCTCAGGCAGTCGGGGCGGCGTGGAGGGCCTGGCTCCGGGAGTGAAGTGGGATTCAGGCTGAGACCTGGGGCATGGCTGGCAGGGTGAGCAGGGGGCACTCGGAAGGACTCCTGGCTGGGCTTCTGTCCCCTGCGACCGTGGCTCTCCAAGGTGAACTCGTTCACCCTCTGCCGGCGCCTGTTGAAAAGCTGGACACCACGGGAGTTGGAGCTGGGAGGGGTGGTGAGCTGTGCAGCTATCTGCTGACTCCAGGCTTTGGCCTCTTTCAGATCCTTCTCAGTGAAGCTGGTGCTCCGGCCCAGGGCTACAGGGAAGGACAGAGGGCTTGTTAGCACACCCATAGGGATATACAGACAGACAGACGGATGGCCATCTGGGCTATCCGACAGATGATCCCACAGATGATCTTTCCTTCTGGAATTTGATTGTTACACACTTATTTCCTAGACCCCTCTTCTTATGAAGATCTCTGACCCAACCATTATCGCCCAACTATCCTTTCAGGACTCCACCAGCCCTTCTTCTGGCTTCCCCCTGAGGGTTGCTGACCCTGCACTTGAGCAAATTCACTCTAGCAGATAAGGTTTCACTATACCCCCAGCTTATCTCCTACACCCATCTCCTCCTACTGGGCTCTGTCTTGCTGACTCCCTTTCTGTTCCATGAAAATTCCAAGTTTGTTCCTACCCCAGGGTCTTTGCACTTGCTACTCCGTCTGCATGATCTTTCCCCGGTGGCATTCCCTGCTGGTTCCTTATTGTCCATTCAGGGCTCCCTTGAATGTCACCTCTGGAGCAGCCTTCCTTTACAATGAGCCCTCTCCTCTACTATACCATATCTTTCCCTTTCTTTTTTTTTTTTAAGATTTATTTATTTATGCATACAAGAGCCAGAGTGCAGGCCAGAGGTGTGTGTTGGGGGGGCGGGGCGGGGGCAGTATGAGAGGATTCACCAGAGACAGAGCAGGGAGCAGTGCAGGCAGATCGACTGAAATACACTGCTGAGGGGAGCAGCAGGCGGGTCAGGAGAGGTCTGCCGCGCCATGTGGGTCAGCCGTCCCACTGGGGATTGAACTCATGTTGCAGTGACTGTGGAGCACTCCACCATGTTGTGCTCTTACCCGTTGCTCCAGCAGGAAGGGCCCTGTTTTATTTTCTTCATGGCGTTCACCACAATTCAGAATTATCTTTTTTACACATTTCCTTATCTTCTTTACACATTTCTGTTTGCCCATTTAGGCCATCAGCTCTGAGGGGGTAACTTGAGCCTTGCTCACGTTTTATCAATCTAATTCTGGCCCTAGAATCATGCCTGGCATAAAGTGGGCACTCAGTAAATATTTTTGAATGTGTGAGTAAACTATCAGGACATGTTTTACATGCTTTCCTTCGGAACCCTTCGGATTTTCAAATTCATAGTGTAGTCATTTATTTGGACACTAACATTTCCCCCTTTTAGAATACCTTCACATGGTCTAAAAATAAAATCAAAAAAGATAAACAGTGAAAGTGTGCTCTAGGCCTGAATGCCTACACCACGTTCAGGTAAGAGGTGTATTAGTTTTTCTATGTCCTTGCAGACTTTCTTTCCATCTATATTTTTGAATGATTGTTAAAAGCAGTCGTTTACGGGCCCTCCCTGGTGGTTCAGCAGGTTAAAATACAGCACTAAGAAGCTAAAGCCACTTCTGCATGAGTTCGATCCCCACCCCAGAGGTGACCCACATGGCACAGCAGACCTCTCCTGACCCACCCGCTGCTCCCTTCATTTGTGGACTTTGTCAATCTGCCTGTTCTGCTCCCCACTCTGTCTGGTGAATCCTCTCACCTCCTCTGCACTTCTGGCCCATACCCCATTTCTGTATGTATAAATAAATAAATCTTTTTTAAAATAACAGTCATTTAAAATTGCTCACATTGTAACACTAGAAAGGTGTCACAAATTGGGGTAGTATCAACAGCAACGATACTAGAACATTGCATTATTTCACTTTATCCTTCAGGAACACCAGAAGACAAGCATTACTTGCCCATTATACAGAAGTGACAAAGGAAGCCCAGAGCTTAGAAAACCTAAATCACATCGTAAAGGGGCAGAGGTGGGAGGACAGCAAAGCTGGAGTCAGAACAAGCTCACGCTCATGGTGTGAGCTCGTCTCAAAAGATTTCTTTGGGCTATGCAAGGGACAGAGTCAGTAGGAGATTGAGGTTCAATATGGGCCTGGAATCTGGGGTCTGAGATCAGGGGTCAAGCCCCTATTAATCTGTGAATTCACTGTAGGCAACCATTTCTCTTTATCACCACAGTTCCTAGCTGGCACATATTTGGCACTTAAATTATGCTTATTGAACAAAGAATGAACAAATGGACATATGAATGGGCGAGCCTGTGCCTGGGATTAGCAGGAAAATTCCTCTCCCCCTCTCCCTTTTTTTCCTTCTCCCCCTCACGAGGGAAGCTAATTAGTTCTGAGGAACCTGACCCGGCCTCTTTCTACCTTGCCCTCATTAGCACTGGCCATTAGCACTGGCACTCCAAATGGGTCTCCAGGGACAGTTTTTCTAGGCGTCCTGCCAGTGAGGCTCAGAATTCATGGACTGTCTGAGATGGAAGAGCCATGATAGAGAAGCTAGGTCAGTCCCACACCCATTTCACAGATGGGGAAACTGAGGCCCAAAGGGGGTGCCTTTGGGCTGGGGTCAGACCCAGCAGCCAGAGGCACTCTGGTACCAATCTCCTTCCACTTGGACAGGGCTCCTCACGCACATACACAAAGCTGTGCCCATCTGCCCGAAATAGTAAGAACACAGGCCTGTCCATGAACAACAATGTCTACTTCTTTCTGGGGCTCCTTTCCTGCCTGCATCATCCCAGATAAAGGATCTGGGGAGCTGGCCAGCCTGCTCCCCAGGGGCCAGCTGAAGTAGAGGAGAGCTAGCCTCTCAGCTTATGTACTGTCACTCCCTGCTGCTCTGGACAGAACCAGGCCTCTTGCCCCACTCTGGGCTTAGCATTTGCTAGCTGTATGACCTTGGCAAGTCACAGCCCTCTCAGAGCCAGTTTCCTTGCCTCAGTGTGACAGTAGGTTTGGGAGGCTACAGTGAAGTCATAAATGTTGGGGCCAAGATGCTCCCCTGAAATAGGCAGGCACTTCACCTCACTGCTCGCTGGAAGAGGTCAGAGCTGCTTCTAGCAAAAGACATTCACCCCACAGATCTGGGCCTAGAGAGAGGATGTGACTCACAGCAGGGGATTCCAGAGTTGTGGGAAGACAGTGATTACTGTCCTAAATCACAACCTCAGATTTTCAGAGATGCCTGTCACAGGATCCAGTTCCCTGCACAGTCCCTGCATACCTGAAGCCACACCACCCTGAGTGTACCAGCCTGCCGACACACTCAGCTTGCAGGGCCCCACTGCAGCTAACTGCCATTCTGCAGCTGTGAAGGTGGCTCTCACACAGCCTTCTGACATGGTTCTGCCCCCTCTTACCACTCCTGGTGGAGCAAGGGGTGAGAGTGCAGCACTGTGAAGCGATCTGCAGCTACTGTAGCTCTCCCAGCCAGGGAGCTGACCCACATGGCGCAGCAGACCTCTCCTGTTTTGCCTGCTGCTCCCCTCAGCAGCATATTTCAGTAGATCTGCCTGTTGTGCTCACCACCCTGTCTCTGGTGAATTCTCTCACCCCCCGCTCCCCTTACCTCTGGCCTGTACCCCAGTTCTTCCATGCATAAATCTTTAAAAAAGCTTTCTTTGCCAACCTGACAGCCCTGCAGAGCTTCAGACAGACATCGTATTCCCCCCGGGATGCAGCCGGATAAACACCTGGGTCTCGTGGTGTTTCTGACACCACAGTAGCAGCAGCTGCACGCTCAGCAGTGACCATGTGCCCAGAACGGGCTCTCCACCATCTCTTCTTTAATCCTCACAACAGCCATATGAAGTACAAACTCTATGATCCACTTTACCAGTGAGGCTTTGAGGGGTTCAGCAAGCAGCCCCAGGTCACAGAAGCAGAAAGCTCCTGTCAGGCTGTGGAATCCCAGGGAGCACAGAGCTGCTAACCGGGTCCCAAGGCCAAGGGCAAGCAGAGTGCTTTAGTGTCCGAGTAATCCAGACCTCCAAAGTCCCTGCTTTTATCTGCTTTTCTCCTTACTGCTCTGCCTCGAACTGTTCCTGAAAGCTATGGATTTAAAAAAATCCTCAAATGTGGGATCATGAGCGCCCTCAGAGATAAACTAGCCCAAAGGAGAGAAGGGGCACAGAGAAGCCCTGGGGCCCAGCCCCAACCAGCGGCTGAACTTTCCCAAGGGAGCTCTGTTCTGAGACAAGAGCAGGAGGCAGAAGGCCAGGGCATGAGCCCTGCACTTGAGGAGCGCTCCTGTGCCCCCAGCCCAGCCCACAGTGACTCCATGGAAAAGGAATTCGGCAGGAGGCTTGGACCAGACTCCATCAGCGATCCAGACAACTTTTACCACCCTGCACAAAGATGAGAGAAGGGGGCTGGGCCAACTCTGGCCACTCAGAGCCCCCATTACAGGCATCAGGAGAAGCAATGTCATCTGCAGACTAGGAAACTGCCAGCCAGTGATGCCTGAGCCAGCTGGGCCCCACAGCAGTGCTCTCTGGTGTCAGGGAGGTGGCCAAGGGCCCTGGGGATGGGCCCCCAAACTGCTTGCTCACAGCCTGCACCTATGCAAGTCGGAACACTCTTCCATGCCTCTGCAGAGTCAGGAGGGGCGCTGGCCCTTTAAAAACCCAGCACCTTCAAGAGAGGAGGGAGAGAGGACAGAAGCACACAGAAGAGCTTCCTGAGGTCAGAGGACCTAGGTCCCTAACTGGGGGAGGGGAAAAGGTCCTGAATGTAGCCTGGGATATGGGTTGTGGGGATTGCTGTAACTATTGAGCCGTCATGGCTATGTGTCAAACACACCATCTTGTTCAATCACCCCAACAACCCTGAGATAGAATTCTGGGGGTAACCTAGTTTGCAGGTGACACCGGAACTCAGAGACACCTCTCCAGGGTCCTACAACTTGTCAGTTGGGATTCAAAACTCAAGT